GTGGACTCACTTGAGGGAAGAGATGCCATACAGAGGGACCTTGATAGGCTTGAGAAATGGGTCAGTGCTAACTTCATGAGCTTCAAGAAGTCAAAATGCAAGGTCCTTCACCTGGGTCAGGCCAATCCTAGGCACAAATACAAACTGGGCACAGAGTGGGTTGAGAGTAGCCCTGAAGAGAAGGATTCGGGGGTGTTTATAGATGAGAAGCTCAACATGAGCCGGCAGTGCGCTCATGCGGCCATGAGGCCAACCGCATCCTGGGATGTATCAAGAGAAGCATGGTTAGTAGGTCAAGAGAGGTGATTCTTCCCCTTTACTCTGCTCTTGTGAGACCCCACCTCGAATACTGCGTCCAGTTCTGGTGTCCCCACCATAAGAGAGACACAGATTTGTTGGAGCGTGTTCAGAGGAGGACCACAAAGATGATCCAGGGGCTGGAGCACCTCTGCTACGAGGACAAGTTGCGGGAGCTGGGATAGTTCAGCCTTGAAAAGAGAAGACATCGGGGGGACCTAATAGCTGCCTTCCAATACCTGAAGGGAACCTACAGGAAGGCTGGGGAGGGACTTTTTACAAGAGTGTCCACTGATAGGACAAGGGGAAATGGGTTTAAGTTGAAGGAGAACAGATTTGGATTAGATCTTAGGAAGAAATTCTTCAGTACGAGGGTGGTGAGACTTTGGAATAGATTGCCCGGAGAACCTGTGGATGCCCCCTCCCTGGAGGTGTTCAGTGCCAGGTTGGACGGAGCCTTGAGTAGACTGGTCTAGTTGAGAGGCACCCGTGCCCATGACAGGGAGGTTGGATTAGATGATCTCTAAGGTCCCTTCCAGCCTATGACATTCTATGATTCTATGTACCCATGCATGTCAGCATTCAGTTACTCTCTTGCAGGTATCCCTCTATGGTAACTCTTCAAACTGATTAAAAATGATTGATTATCTCTGCAAATTCTTTAGCTCAGATCCTTGCTTGATCGTGCCAAGGTCTAACTAAGTGTAGAATGGAATTAAAAAAAAAAAAAAGTTTTATTTGATTATTTAATCAGGAAGTTCACCGTGCCTCTGGTTTTGCTACATACAGTCTGTCATCATGTTAGAAGGGCAAGATACTTCAATTTGAGTTACCTCAGTTCTCCAGTTCCTCTGAGGGCTCTTCATGTCATGCATATTATCATTCTACAGTAAGCAAAGAGTCACTGGCTTATGAGCATTGTGCATGGACCTTTTCTCCTCCCTTTATTAAAAATCACCAAAAGACATGCAATCAAATCTAAGCCAAAATGGCAGAGACTTACAACGCATGAGAATAATAATAGTGCTAGGTGCTTTGGGAGGTTTTAAGACATTAAACTGTACCAGTGATTTCTTTATTTCTGTGTACCTCAGCAAACTTCTAATAGGCATCTAGCTACACAGCTGTCTTATTATCATTGCCCCATTTTATCTGTTGGCACAGCATCAGAATGGGTAGGTAGTAGGGGAATAATGTTACTACAGCAGGGTTTGAAAAAAGGACTTAGCAATTGGTGCTAGCAATAGCTTCAAAAGTCGTAATCCAAATGCTGAGTAGACAGAACAAGCACCAAAAGTCGTAATCCAAATGCTGAGTAGACAGAACAATTCTTTGATGACAGTGGCATGACTGAAAGCACAGGTAGTGCTATGGTGCCAGGGGTAAAAGCAGAGGTTGAGGCTTGAGTCACCATCAGTGATTTTACCACCACTGAGAAACTCATCCACAAGCCAGACGAGGTTTGCAACGCTTGGTCTTATAAAGGGAAGTGAATTCTCCTTTGAAATCAGACATACTACCCTATACCGATTATTATCTTTTGCTTTTTAATGCACTGAATGCTTCCTTTTTTTACCATCACTCTGTAATATAAATGTTAATGTAAGATATAGCCAGTATTATTATGTAAATCTTCTCTCAGCAGCTTTCAATAGTTATATATCATCAAATGAGTTTTTAAATGTTAACTTCTCTCAATAAATTGAAACAATTTAGCTTCTGTTTGTACACTTTAATTGAATAAAATGAATTCTTAGTTTCTATTTATAATTATCTACAAAACATCAAATTATATACAGATAAACCTATTCTATGTTTATTCGGAGATTGAACAATCCCTGGAATTAAATGCTGGAAGCTATTCCCTCATTATCTGAGGAATAATTTTTATTAGTGGAACAAATCTGGATGCAGTTAGCTTTGTTTCACAGAGCAAATTATATAAAAGCTAGAGGAGGTGCGTATTATCATGTGTTTCTGTTTTTCAATCATTCATATAAAAATAAATTTCTGAGATTAAAATTTCTGTAGTTGGTTGCATAAAGTTGCGTATTTGACAGTGTTAGTTTGATAAATGTATTTTTTAATTTATGAATTAAAATAAAAATTAATTTGATACAAATCTGAGGGATTTTTTGTACTTAAATATCTAACAGTAGGCCTGATTTTTAAAATGCTCAGCCTTGATCACACAAGAATTTGTACATTTTACTGTTGCCTCAAGCTGTGTTTTCAGTGTTGGTTTGTTTTTTTGTTGTTTTGTTTTTTTTTTTATAGTCAGTATCTGTTGTCAGTTTTCAGCCTTTGAGCTCACCACCTTGTAGGAAACATTACTGGCATTTTAGAACCCAGGAGTTTTTGTCAATCTAGCTTTAAAGAGAATTATGACATTTCTATTACTACAGGCTTATTGCTTCACGGAATTTGTTGAGCCAGCTGAGATGCTAATTCTTCATTGCTGCACTGAAGGTTTGGAAGGTGGGAGAATGATATGGATGGTGTACCTGTCGCTGTGGAAATCTGTCAATCATGACAGTTTCACTAGTTTCCAGTGCAATAATATTGTAATGGCATGGTGATGTAAATGTCAACTTTGTAAGAGCATCCCTCTGGAAAATCTGAGTGGGTGGAGGAAATTTTTTATCACTGCAGTCTGAGCTATCCCAGCTTTTTTTTAAGTGGTGTAAACGTGGCACAAAATAAGTGAGGATGAAAGAGCCTGTTCTCTATGGACAGTGTTTCCCAAAGAAAAATGAGATTTTTCTATAGAGATGATTGAAGAGATTGCTATTTCTATTCTGTTCTCATATTTGCAAAAAGAAATAATGTTTTGATGAAAAAAAAAGAAATTCAGCTTTGTTTTAAAATTGAGCAGATAGTGTAGTAATGTAGAGAACAGTTTAGAGTGCTTGCATGTATCATCCATGGTAATGAAATGCATTCTTCAGTAGATTTTACACATCCTGCACTGCTAAAATAAAGTAGAGACTGTTTACATAAAATGATAACTACTAAAATATGTGAAATACATTCAGTAACGTGATGCTTAGAACTTGCCAAGAAGAACGTGTACTAATTCCTATCCACCTCCATTGTTACCTTAAGAGCAGCTCTCTCCATAGCAACTGAAAACTTTTCAAGGCAGCAATAAACTAATCCTCTCCAGCTTCCAGAGCACCATCAAGGAATTTTAAAAACATTGGACTTCCAGCAGCTAAATACTTCTGAGGATTCAGAAGGCCACAAAGCTAGATACTGAAGCTTTCTTTTTTCCCTTCAGAAGGTAAGAAAATAATGTTTAGAAATAACTGCACCCTCGTAGCAATGGTACGTATTCCTAACTGCTAACAGTAAAATATATCTAAACACCAAAAGATTTCCTAACGTCTGAAAACATACTAACCTTTATCTGAGTGAATGCCAATTTGAATTCAACAGTTCTTTTTGGTGTTGTTGTTTTAAATACTTTGTTTGCAGAGTTTCCTTTAAAATAGGACACACACATATCATATTGCTGTTAAAAGAAGCTAAAGGTATGTGTGGCTGTTTAACACATGTGCATTATGATCTGAAAATGTATGTCACTGCCAGTATCTGCCCATCGATAAAATGAAAACCTCTTTGTGGAAAACAGAAGTGAAACTCTTCACGTTTCTGATGCTTTGTTATTGAGATCGATTATTGTTAAAGCAGAGGCGATGGTATATTAGGAAGGATAATGACAAGATAAATTTACAGTACAAAAGCATCTCGCGTTAACAAATTAAACTTGTTGCTTCTGATGTGTTTGTCTTGTTTATTCACTGAGTTCTGTGAATGAAAATGTGACCTCGGTTTTGTAACTCTTTCATCTGATCATAAAATATCACTACTTTTTAAGTATATCCTGTTCTTTCTTGTTTTGTGTTGTATAGCTGGAGTTTGGTAATGTTGGTGAAGTGTTTTGAAGATACAACCTGCTCTATATCATTGCCTCTTAACATAATTACTGCACATTCATATCTGAATTAGACTAGTAATCTTTGTTTACAGCTATTTTTGTTACTAAAAACTTGTTTCATAATGGAATGAAAGTGAAAGCTTTGGTATTTTCCTGTTCTTATTGAAGAGGATTATTAGTGAAGGCAATAACATAACACTGAAACGAAAACCATACACTTTACTTTTATGAGGAGGGAAGGGCACTTTGAGTCAACCTCTCGTTGGTGATTCTACAGAAGTTTTAAGGCCATGGTTGTCTTAGTTTCCTGCTGTTCTGGGCTGTAAAACCCTTACAGGCTCCCTGTTGTTCAAAAACAGCTTGTTGCTGCAAATCAGCTTAGCCGACCAATTAATAAATCCTTTCAAACATATTGCATTCACACTAATTAAAGGGTTGGGGTTTTTTTCCCCTTTACCATTCAGATTCCTCAGGTTTCAAGTTTAAGCTGTGAAGTGCAAACAACAATCCAACACTCAGTGCAGATCACGCACTGCAGGAAGAAGAGATGTGTTTTCTGACCAAGCATCCAGCTCTTGGGGTGGTATGTTCTGCTTTCATATTCAGCGTGCTCATTGCTGAAGGACAGCCTGGGGAAGAGCATGGGCAGGATGGCAGCTATGCTCCCAGCCGAGGCTATCTGATGGAAGTTTTACGCGTTCTTTCAGCTGACAACACTGAGCTCCACATGAACCACTCACGAGAACTGGTCAAAATGTTACTGGAGAGAACTGAGTGCCCACAGCGGATTTATGGCATGCAAGAGGATTGTAATCTGGTCAGTGCTTCAATTAATGAGGGATATGTTTACAGGATCGTCAGTGAGTTCTAAAATTCTTTATTAGAGTATACTCTCTTGAATACAAAACCTAAATATGTAAAGGTCTTGTTGTTGCAGAAAAAAAATGTCCCTGCATTAATCATTTCATTCTGAATTATTAATATTTATTGTTTGAGCTCATGAAGAGATATTCCAAACATGACAAGCATTCCTTAAAAACTCCATGCTTCAGTTGCATAACACTAATAATTTTCCTTTAAAAGCTGGCAAGTGTTTATTTTCCAACAAAGATTTTTCTGTTTTACTCTGATCTAACTACAAAAGCATGAGCTTGAATTTGGGGCACAGAGGATTTCCACTGTGGAAAGACATTAGGTAAAAATTGGAAGCCAGTTCTGCCACTTTTTTTTGTACTGGATTTTAGTTCATAAAAATAAAACCCAGACAGACTTGTCTCAGATTTATGTGCCACTTCACTGAAAAATTCAAGATTTAAGGGAGGGTTTTGGTAAGCCGTCCAGGTCAAGTAAAATCAAAGGCAGAACAATGAATCTATAAATCCAAATTGAAACTGGAAATAATCCAGCGTACAGCTTCACAGAAGGTTTGGTTATCTAGTTGAGTTGAGAATATTTTCAGAACTGATTCCTGATTTGACAAAGAAAGGAACAAGTGTAATAAGATTGTAGGTTCTGGTAGGACAAAGACAGTGGTAAGTGAGCAACTTAGCTGAAAGGGACTACAAAGGGCTTGGTCAGTCTTGGCTTGGATTAACGTTGCTCTGGCTATAGCATTGTTCAGTGACCTACATACAGCAGAGTGTCACTTTATATCAGAATATGAGAATGGTAATAACAATGATTGCTTTTACAATATAATATTCTCAGTCCACCAAGCCAATGAAATGGAGGTCTTTTTCTCCTGTGCAATAGATAAATACTCACTTAATTGACCCTTTCTGCAAATGCTCCCATTTTTCATATGAGCTCCAAAGTGAAATTTCATACATAAATAATGTAGGTACCTGTTATTCTCTAAATGAGTAATTTTCCTGAAGGAGATTGTGCAGCGTTTGTCTTTGCACATATGGGCAATGGATACATATCAGATATGAACCCAGATCAAAAGATGAGAATGGATTAAACAGTAATGGGTATAGGGTCCTCCTAAACCTCACAAAACAGGAGACTAGGCCTTCTTGTTCTCCCTCTTTGTTTTGCTTTTCTGGTTTGCTGTATTTTTTCTTGCGTTTGTGATGTATTTGCGGAGAGAGTGCCTGCTATGTCTTTGGGTGGAAGAAATCTAAGTGAAATTTAGCTTGGGCTTACTTTGGTCAGGACTTCCACTCTGCTTAGGCTTCAACTTGGAAATTCGAGGACTTTCACCATTTCTAGCACTTCTCAGTGTTGGCTTTGTCAGTAACACTGCACACACCCTTGTCCCAGTTTTAGCTGGGACAGAGTTTTTTTTTAACAGCCAGAAGAGCTCCCTGTTTTGGTTTCACTCAGAGGCTCACTCTGAGAAGAATGTTGATAGCAAGCTGATGTTTGTGGTTGGAAGTGAAACTCCAAGGACTTTTCAGTGTGCGGAGTACAGAAACACGGCAGGATAAGGGGGGAGCATAGCTGGGACAAGGGGGACACGATTCCCCTTGTCATTTGTGTGGAACTTAAGACTGAGGGCCAAACTGGCCAATTAGTATTCCATATCATGCAGCGTCATGCCCAGTATAAAAGCGAGGGTCAGCCGGGAAGAGGGGCTTTTGCGCTTTTGCTCTTTTTGCACTTTTGCTCTTTTGCGCTTGCTGCGCTGCTGCTCTGCTGTTTTTTTTTTCCTTCTCTCTCTCTCTCTTTCTCTCCCTCTCTGCCCCTCTCTATTTCGGGGCCTCGCGTTCGTCCGGGATTTGCAGTTTTCGGGACGAGACGGGCTTCGCATACGAGGGGTGGTGAGCACCTACATTGTATTAAATCATCTGTATTAAATCACTCTTATCTCAACCCACGGGTTTCACGTTTATCCTTTAATTCTCTCCCTCATTCCTGGGGGTGGGGGAGGGGGAGTGACCGGCTGTGTGTGGGGCGGTTCAACATAACCCACGACAACCCTGCACTGCAATTGCCACACAAACACGGTTGTCTGTGGAAAATCCATGAATGCAGCTCACATGGCACTTTGCTGAAACCTTCCAATATGATTTAACAAGATTTGGTAAACCAAGATAGCAAAACCTGTGCAAGAAGCACTATCCTTCATCATCACTGAAATTTGAAACAGAATGCCCCACCTTAGCTTGGCATTTTCTTTCCCATATTTGTTGGGAATAAGTAATTGATTTAAGACTCAACTTTCTCTTCTAAATCCAGGATACCAGTCATACCACATGACTTTGTTTTCAGATTTCTTTTATGTTTTTAATGATGTCTCCAGTAAGTATTTAGAAGTAGTGAAGTCAAACACTTTTTTAGACCCCTTTTTGGTTTGTTGTTACATGTTGGCCCCAAGACTCTTTGGGCAGGAGCTGACAGCTATTGAATGGCATGTGACACTTCTTTATCTCCTAAGCACACAGAAGTCATATATTTCTTGCAGTGGTAATAGAATTTTTTCTAACTTATGGTGTCTTAACCAAAAGAAATTCAGGGTTGAGCGCCCAGGTTCAAAGTTGGTCTCTTTTTCATAGCAAATAAGCATTTCTCAAACACGGTCATGGAGGTGGTTATGCCTGTAAAATATTAGTAACAGCAAAATAACCAGTGATGAACCAATTTATATCCTCTTGATATCTTCTCAAGGGTTACTCTCTATGGGCTACTCATAGTAGCTGCATCTTTTACAATGCACCTGCTTCCTTCCAATTAGCAGATTTCTTTTCAGTCATCTTCCTTGAAAGAGCAAACAATAGCCTCGCTGATTGCAATTTATCCTGACTGAGTTTTGAAAAGTTATAGAAGTCTTTGAAAATCTTCCACTAAATGCAGTATGTCTATTGCATTGAGTGTTTGAAAAGGCTGGTTGACTAACCTGAAGTTTTTTGGGACAAAACAGAATAGCTATATTCCTCCTAGCCCAAATACTAATGCTCAGAGACATATATTATGAAAAGTTAGAATTATTGATCTTGATAGACAATGTAGGCAGGACATAGTGGATCATACTGTAATCTAGTTTATTTAAAAGTATAAATATTTAATTTGGCAATTACCATCCACAGTTCTCTTTTTTAGATTGAGTATTTTTGAGAATTTTCGTTAGAATTATTCCTATTAAAAAGTAGCAGCTACCTCAATTCCTCCAAGTAACATTGGCTTCTGAACACGACAATACGTGTTTGATTCTACTCAGCTTCTGTGTAGGAAAATGAACTACATACAAGGTGGGCCACATCAACCAATGCATCTTGCTTGTAGCCATAAACAATTTAGTCTGACAAACTAGGCTCTGTCTGGATTCGTGAATTTATTAAAGTGCAGTTTTGATCCTCCTATGGTACATTCATGTGTTATAGTTTCTTTGAAATGTACAGTCCGGCTGCTATACCATAATAGTTGAGATTAGCTGACATGCCTATAACGTGCTTGGGAAGGAGCCAGTGGAAAAAAAATCAGCTACACAACGAATAACAATAGTTACAGGATCTCTTCAAGAAAGATTTTTTTTTTATTCTGGAATTCAGTATCTTATTCTCCATAGCTGACATAGAGCTCTGTTAGTCTTCTGGTCTAATACCTGCAACTGCAATTAGTTACTTGCACTCTCCTCCTGCCATTCCATCAGCCTGCATCTGTGTAGGCTTAGGTTCTATCCCTTAAATATGAGTTCAATTCTGTTCTCCTCTCTAATTTTATTTCCAGATGACTGGCAACGTGTTACTTGAGTTGAATTTCCATTTATTTTTATTTTTTCACAGTGCGTTGAACCGGATGCTTTGTTACTAATAGCTGGTGGAGATTTAGAAGGCCATCTCAGTGAAGAAGTGTTTGAGAGAATTTCTCTTATTCTTCTCTACTACATTCTTCATCATAGAGATGTGTGTTCTTCAGAACTCAGCTTGAATAATAAGGATTATAAATTTTATCTACAGAGTATGCTTAGTTTAAGACACGATGAAGACTGTTATTATTTTTCACGGAATGAAACGGAAGATATTTTAACTGCAGTAAGGCAACATTTTAAAACTTCTGAAACCCAGGTAAAGAAACTAAAAGTAAAAATAACTTCATATTTATTACTGATATATATATACTGATACCTTTAAGCTAGTTCAGACACTGTGTCCTCCAGAAAACTGGTAAATAACAGTGGGAGAGCACAGGCTGAACATTGGTCTTTTGTTATATGTGCTGTTTAACACTAGCCTTCTCCTTGGCTTGCTTTTGGCATGTGCTACTTAGCATTCCACAGAGTCTGCTGAGACATCGTTGAGGAGATAGTGCATATTAGGACCGTTCCCAATAGGTAATTTAGATGCAGTTGCCCTGCTTAGGGCAGATGGAAAAGAGAATAGCTGTATAGATGAAATATCTTGCACTTGGCTTCAAGAACAGAAAATACTTTCTCATCTCTTGTATTTATTAGTATAGATATACTAGCAGTTATTATACTTAAACAGTATAAAGCAGAACAGCTCCAAAACTGATCTGGCTGTACAGCAGAAATGATGAATCATTTTTCTGTGATGAGATCCTTGCCAGGCCCCACACCTCCATGTCCATCCAAATGAATCTGTCCAAAGATGCGATGATTTCTTTCCACTGTTTATTATTCCTTATCTCAAGAAGGGATGATAAAATACTAGAATAATGTTCTAGAGTTCACAATCTAAAGAAAAACTGTTTTCATTCTAATGGGCAATAAAAAAACCTTTTTGCCAGATTAGATAACTCCTAAACTAAAGGTTGACCTGCTGTGAGAAGCTCCTTAGATCTGTTCGTAGTATACAGTTAAGTTTGGTTTATTGCAGAGTTTGAATTTCCTGTTTTCTTTTTCATTTCATTAGATTTTAATTTACACCATACTGTAGTAGAGTTTCCTACATGAACGGAAGATGACTAGGAGTCCTGGCTGTGCAGCAGAATGCTGAGAGCCTCCAGTTCCTCTTTCTGTGTTCTTTGTGTAATTGTTTCCCATCATAAATTATTCATTGACCAGTACTTTTGGTTCTGAGTCTTGGTGAACGTGCCCATTTCCAAGAACTCCAATGGTATCTGGGCAACTGTGAAAAGGCATTGGTGGGTATTTGGCATGTCAAGACAGAATAACAGTCCATAAAGTGCTTTACTGTGTGGTCTGTTTGTTTATGCTGGCAGTATAATCAGTTGACAAGCCTGTTCAGTAACTGAGACTTCAATGTTCACTAACATGAGGGAAAAGAATGGTTTTTTATGAGAGGTACTCAAAACATTCTAGACTATCTAATGCTTAGAATCGCAACACTTGAGTTCTGGAAAAGAGCCAATGATGCAGTGTATTAATAGAAAAATAGCATTTTTAGTGCCTCTTTATATGTTTTGGTTTCACAGAAAATATCCTCCTCTCAGCCATAGCAGCTAATATATTATTTTAAATGAGAGGCGAAATTTCAGGTTGTGGAAATGTAAATGTGTAATGGATGGATGGTGAAAGAAATGCCCGCCTCCTCGCTGCAGTGTTTAAGGCCTATATATAGAGAGAGATGAGTTTGTGTAAAATAAGTTGCTACTGTACTAGCTCATCTAGTTGACTTTTCAATTTAGTTAATATAGGTTAGAGACAAATGAACTTAAATAATTTTCACCCAGAGTCATTTTAAGTTTTTTTTTTTTTTTTTTTTTTGGTTTCTCTCAAACCCCAACTGTTTACAGTGAAAATAAACAAGAAAGGCAGAAATAGAAGAAAACAGGGATAAGTTTCCAGGTAACTGAGAGAGCTGTACCCTGCTCCCTCACTTCAGACCTGCTCACATCCACACACATGGGCGTACATGACCATCTACTGCTCCTGTTTGGTCACCCCCGCAGGGAAGTCACTCTTTAGCTGCGGAGTTACATCTTTCCATATAGTCCCCAGATAGCTGCCCCATGACAAATTATGGATTCCATTTAATAGATAGAGAACTAAAAACATTAAAATAATTCTTTCTGAAGTTCTAGTTAAAGTCTGTATTATTTGAGTCAATTTCTCGTGCCTTAACAAAAATCCCTCCCTTTTCTGCCACTTTCTATAAGTAGATGTAGATGGAATTGAGGAAGACACAGGAATCACAGAAACAGCATGAAAATAACACTAAGCAAAAATAACCTGAATGAAGGACTGTACTTCTTCCCTGTCAGACATTGAGTAAAATGTCAGGTTTTTTTCTTCTATGCCTGTTCTCCTGAAAATGTCCTCTGTTTCACATTTGCTGTCCTGCTGTCAATTACAGCTTTAATCTTAGTGTTTTTTTTCACCCTGGCTGTCTGTGAAAGTGTTCTCTCCAGTTTCTCCTCCTGTCACTCTGATTATTTAAATGGAGGTGACCAGGGCTGTCTTCATGCTGTTTTCTCCTGATTTCAGTGTGTTGATGTGAGTACCCTGGAGAAAAATGCTGATATAATGGACAGAGATGGTGCTGATGAACACACTCTTCCACACCTGGCTGCTTTAATCGTTACTCTGGCTCTCCAAGGAGTCTGTATGGGGAAAGCAAGTTTACCCTCCCCAGAATTCTTTATAAAATACATTTTCAATTCTCTGAACAGTACTACTGAGCTCCAAGTGAGAGGTAAGCTATTTATTCGTCTCTAGTTGCTTTTTGCAACACACATTGATGTAAACTATCTTTAAATGCCTAACGGACTTCTTACACTTCATTTTGGATTTAAATGCCATTTCATTTTAGAGCTGTTAAGTAGTCTCTTCGAAATGTAAAAACAAGGTTGGAAAATAAACTCCTTACTTTGATAATTCTCTGAGAGACAGAAAACGAATTGTTACTGTGATTCCTAAATGTGTACCATCACATTAATTTACGACTTAATTGCTCAGCACAGTGTGAACTACCCAAGAGACCTCTGAGAGTGGCAATCTAGCTGTGAGGGCAGAGTTTACTGGGGCCTCGTTATATTGCTTCTTTATGCAGGTTTTTATACATTGCAAGATTGATTTAGGGATGGATGAGATTATTCATGTATGGTAGCCAGATTAAACACTTCAGCCATTCACACCTCCGTGTAGACATATGCGCAGAAGAGATGAATTAGACACAGGCCACTCTGTTTTGACCAAATGCTCTCTGATATCTGCCTGCTGTACCTGAAAACACCTTTATGGTTTGTGCTTCCCTGCCCACCTTCTGATCATAGTACCCAATCAGTGAGTCTGGACTACGTGAAGTTAATTTTCTTCAGGAGCTCTGTTGCTAGATGTATCAGAAATGCTACTTAACCGTAAAGAAATAGAAGTATAAGAGAGTCCTGAGTGGTTCAAAAATAAATAAATAATAATAAAAAAATAAACCACAAGCATTGAGCTTTTAGCAGCTGCTATTAAGCTCTGTAAAAGATTCTTCATGCTTAGCAGTTTAAAAAGATAAACCACCAACTCAAGGGCTTACTATGGATTTAGAAGGTTATTGTATCTACTTTTCCTTGTTTCTGGTAACTGCTAATAGCAACACTTTACTAGCTTTTTAAAAGTTACATTAAGTATGGGTTAAAACAGCTTCAAAAGTTAAATTCATAGATTCGTAGATTCATAGATTTCTAGGTTGGAAAAGACCTTAAAGATCATCCAGTCCAACTGTCCCTAATCCCCATTAAACCATATCGCTAAGTAGATCATCCACCCTATTCTTAAACACATCCAGGGATGGGGACTCAACCACCTCCCTGGGCAGCCTATTCCAGTGGCTAACAACCCTTTCAGAGAAGAAATGCTTTCTAACATCCAACCGGAATCTGCCCTGACTAAGCTTATACCCATTTCCTCTTGTTCTATCACCCACCACTAATGTAAAGAGCCCTTCCCCCACCTCCCCACCATCCCTTCTCAAGTATTTGTAGGCTGCAATCAGGTCTCCCCTCAGCCTCCTCTTCTCCAGGCTAAACAGCCCCAACTCCCTCAGCCGCTCCCCATAAGTTTTATTTTCCAGCCCCTTGACCAGTTTAGTCGCCCTTCTTTGGACTCGCTCCAGGAGCTCAATATCTCTCTTAAAGCGAGGGGCCCAAAACTGGACACAATATTCCAGGTGCGGCCTCACCAGTGCCGAGGACAGGGGCAGGATCACTTCCCTGTTCCTGCTGGTCACACTATTCTTGATACACACCAGTATCCCATTGGCCTTTTTGGCCACCTGGGCACACTGCTGGCTCATATCAAGCCCGTAGTCAACCAACACCCCCAGGTCCTTCTCCGCCAGGCAGCTCTCCAGCCACTCTTCCCCGAGCCTATAGCGATGCTTGGGGTTTTTATACCCCAAGTGAAGGACTGAATAAGTAATTAAGCATAGGTAAAAGCATTTTTACTTTCAAGTTACACAGAGGTACGTCAAATCACAGAAGTAAATAATAAAAAAAAGAACAAAACATTCAGCCCTAAACTTGTACTCCTAGATTGTACTTGCGTAAACTGATTTTGCAGCAAAACCCTTCTTTTAAAATTGCCAAGCCAGATCTTCTAAAATAATTGACTCGCAAGAATGGATGGAGCCATCTGGATGGGCACAGTGCTACTAAATAGCTATATATGGTGAAATCCAAGCCTCAGTGAAGACAATAGCAAGAATTTATGGTTGGTGGAGTTAGGGTGTCATTCAGAGAAACAAAACAATATTCTTAACCGGTTTGTTACAGTGTAAGTATGCTTTAAGCCTAAGCTAATTAAATTGTCCATTTAAATTTATTCAAATTCTTAATAGAAACTTCAGGAAAGAGCAAGGAACTGGCAGCATGGAAAAAAAGAAAAGCAGAGTTGACTACATTTAGAAAACAAAGCTATCTTCAGCTCTGTTCAGATCTGTTTACTCAAGACAAATGAAGTAGACAAACGCCACAAGCCTTTTTGTAAAATTCACCATTAAGATTGTACCATTTGATTTTTCTGAATAATAACACTAAAAAATAAAGGATTATCATATTATCATTCTTAATCTCATTGATCTAAATGCATTTGAAATTAATTTGTGGACTACTTTTGATTCCAATGGGCAAACTCAGATTTACAGAAACTATCACTATGGGTTCGTCTTGAAAAATGCAGGGGTGAGGGAAGGTGGTAAGTAAGATAAGATAGAGCATGCCCTCTCATATAAGCAAGCATTTCATCAGCAGGCACACTCATTGCACTCAAGTTTTGACGTGGGATATATCCCTGCGTTGTCTCAGGTTTGGATTAGGGGTCCTGGCTCCCTCCTTCCTGTTTCAGTGCTGTAAACAGGCATGCTCCCAGGTCAGCAGCTTGACCAAAGGAGAGAGATCCACTGCCCTGCGTTCCACTTCTGCAGTGCAGAGGGCAGCATACCATCCTGAAGACTGGTTTCAGGACACCCTATAAAGTATCTGTCTTCCTGGTCTTTCTGGACTAGACAAATGCCTGGCATGGTGTCCTAACCTGGTGTTCTATTTACATGGGAAAATTTGAGGACTAGTGATGCTACTTAGCAGTAATTTGTAGATAACTTTGGCAGAGATCGATGATTAAGTCAAAGATGAATTGCCTTTCAGTCAATATCTGTTTTCCTTTGAGATAGTCATAGGCAAAACATCTCAGTGTGGTACTGCAAGGATGTAAAGGATGAGTATATAGGTGTCTTGAACTTCTAGAGGTGTTAAGCAGAAATTACTTACCGTACCAAACTGAGGAGAGAAAGAAGTATTAAAATGAGGAACTGCATTAATGTTAAAACTAACAAAATTTAAATGATTACTTTTGGTTTTATCTTTTTAAATGTGTATTTTCCCATGGTGATATATCTGTTTTCTAATGAATTACCAGAACTGGAACAACTACTAAATGTTCTTACAGCCAAAAAGACCTGCACTGTAAACGGACAATTCCACAGTAACAAAAGAAGACGTTATAGTATGGCAATCAGAGGTATTGGAACCAGAAATATTCCAGTCATGGCAAACCATACAAAAGGAGACTATCTGAAAGGTTATTCTGAAGATCGTGAAAGGAACGCAGATTGGGATCAGGTCAATTTGTTTTGATGTTTTTATAGTATTGGTCACAGAATTTCAGTGATAAAACTTCAAATTGGTTTGCAAACACTACATTATTTCTGAGGTAAAATTGATTAATTTCAAAACATAATGTAGATACTGAATTATATTTTTATAGATTTATATTTGTTTCAATATTAATTGGGGGAAGAACTTTATGGCTGTTGAATGTGTGATTAAAGTAGGTGGGAGGGGCTAACAGAATGGTTAGTGTTACGCGGAATCAGGTGTTTCTTCAAGACAGAGGACTATAGTACCATGGCTTTAGTGTTTTCACATATTTGTTAGTGATTTCTTGTGCTCTTATGTCGCAGAGCTTCTAGAGTCCCTTAAGTGACCTTGTAGAAAGAAGGGTTGTTCTGTACTAATGAAAAAAAGTAAATTAAGGTCTCTACATAAGTTGTTTATAAAAGGCTTTTGTAAAGTGAAGATTGGGCATTTCCAAACACTTTTAAAGCCATCTGTGGAGTCCAGAAGCCTCTTTTGGAAAGTATAGAGTCTCTAAGATAGAACTTTAGCTGCTCTATGAGGTGTTTGAAGGACAATGGCTCATCACAGTTAAAATAAATAAATTTTTGTTTACAACAGTGATAAAGACGGTAACTGACTTCCATCCTTCAGACTGAAAGACTTTCCTTAGGCAAAAAAGGAGACTTCAAAATACATACTCTATATATTTTGATTTATACATTTGAAATATATACTTCAAAGTATATGCTTCTATTGTTTTCAGTTCTTTACAACTTCAGTTAACTCAAAACCAATGATTCTTCTCCATTTAGGAGAATAAGAGATGAGCAACCGACCTTTGCTTTGTTCCACATCAATGTGGAATTGAGACAAATGGCATCTGGTTAAATGCCATTTTGATAAAAATTTATTTGTTTACTATTATTGCAATTGGAATACATACTCTATCGATATGTTTATTTCTTTCCAGCTAACCACAAAAGACAACCATGCTGATAAACATGATGAGGCATTTAATGGGGTCACAAAATCATTTTAAATTAAGATCATTTTAAATGTGTTTCATATTCATTTGGAACTATGAAGGGCAGAAATCAGTAGTGATACTATCTGTTCAAGAAGTAAAATGATTCTCCAGTAATGGAATTCATAAAATACAATTTTTTATTTCTTGAACTTCTGAGACTGACTGTAACTCAAAAGATAAGTGTGCAGAGGAGTTATCTGAGGCTTGGGAGTCAAACTGAGAGCCAAATATTCTGTATAGATGAAAAAAATCACAAAGAAACATCTGCAGAGAAGAAAAATTTCTTCTTCATTAATTCCTACTTTCTGGTTTTTATTCCATTTCTCTTCTTGCTAGCTATGTCTATTTTCTGTGATACATCGTTCCATTAGAAGGTGTTGGTTTTCAGTATTGTGTTGCTAATTTTGTCCCTTGCTTTCTGCAGTTGTCTGTGAAAGCCATTGTGCTCCATTAGTGTCAGATGCTGCTACATTTGAGGCATTGGCTCAATCTGTAATTTGATTTTTAGATAGGAATTATATTTTGAAATATTATCACAGAAAAAAGGTCACTGCTTTCTTTTTAAGTCATCATTGTCTCTACTGATTTAAAAAATACATGTAAAACAAGCAAGTTGCAGATTATCTAATAAAAGCAATAATATTAAGTTCCATTAAACTATGTCACAATATCTATGCATTCATTTATTATTCCTCATTAAAGAAACACGGGTTTTGGAAACCAAAATTATCTATCCAGTTTTTCATATGAGCATATGCAAATTCAGTTTACTGGTTTCTTCAGTATCATCCGCCAGGGGTACACACATAGTTCCTTTACTAATGGAGACTTATTACTCCACCTCCCTATGTTAAAAAGCTAAAAAGGCTATGGCTTGCTACTGGAAAAGATGCAGGTCCTCATGCCTCAAGACTTACAAGAACATTTTACTAAATAAACTTAAGAATTATATTTTTATTTGTGGGTGGACATGAGATCTGGCTTTTTCTTTTAAAATATCTAATAATGAAATCACATTAGAATTTAGGTTCATAATAGTCGCAGACCTCATCTTGTACTTCTCAAAACAGCGCCAACATAGTCAGATCAAGTTTCACAGGGCCACGTCCAGTTGAAATCTCACTGTCTCCAAAGACAGAGATTCCACAGTAATTCTGGAAAGCCTGTACGACTGCATTATTGACTTCATTTTGATGATTTTTTAATTATAGCAAATTGGAGTTTTTCCTGCTGTAACTAATACCTATTGCCTCTCATCCTTTTGCTGTACATCTCTGAGAGGACTCTGGCTCTAATTTCCCTATAACCACTGTTACATAGTTGAAGACTGAAGATACCTCCCATCTCTTCTCTTTTCCAGACTGAACATACCCATATCCCTCAGCCTCTCCCTGCACATCATGTGTGCAGTTCCCTAGCCATCTTGGTGGCCCTCCATTGGACTTCCCTCAAATCACCAATGTCTTTCTTGTACTGTAGGTTATTAAACTGGGTATAGACCAGATGTCCTGAATGGAGGGCAATGATCTTTTTCCCTTACCTGTTGGCTACCCTCTTGCTAATGCAGCGCAGTATGCAGTTAGCCTTCATTGCCACAAGGGCACACTGGTGACTCATGTTCAAGTTGTCTGTCGGGACCCCAAGGGCTTTCTCTGTAAAGTTACCTTCCAGTTGGTTTTCCTCAGCTTTTGTCGATGCAGGGTGTTATTCTGTTTGAAGCACAATAAATTCATCTTTACTGATCTTCACGAAGGTGTTGTCAGCTCATATCTTTGGCTGATCAATATCCCTCTGAATTAGCAGCCATGCCTGTCAGTGCATTGACTACTTGTCCCATTTGGATTTAATCTGTGAATGTGATATGGTGCACTCTGCTCCATCACTCACGTCATTGATGAAGGCATTAAATAATATCATCCCCTGTACCAACCAGTGAGGAACACTGAGCATAATCATCCATGAGCTAGACTTCCAACTTGATACCACTTGCTGGTGTTCCCTACTTCTAGAGTAAACCTCACTTTCTAGAACAGACAGACTGAAGGTCTTTTCTAATATGGTAGTTCCTGAATTGTCTTGATGCTCTGCTTCTGCTTGGAGACAGAACAGGCTAGATCCAGGTGGCAAGATCACCTGTTGCCCTGAAGACCTGAATGTGGTATTCAGAATAAATGTACCAGTCCTCAATTAATTCTGAATGAATTAGTTTCTGAGTGAGCTACAAGGCAGATTTTACTTTATCAGTGGATGAACAAGGGCAAGAAGACATTGGTTTTTAATTGGGTTACTTAAAAGTAATGCCAATTACAACTTTTTATTTAAATAGCAATTTTATTTCAAAAGTAACTTGTGGCAATGATTAGAAAATAACATTTAGGAACCACTTGGTTCTCAGCTGCAGGCTATGTTAAACGAAAGAAAAAAAATGATCTTTGAATTGAATTGAATGACAAATAATGCAATGAGATTAAGAAATTAAGAAATGAAGATGATTCCTTTAAGTAAGATAGCGTATTTGATCTGGACTTCTTTTTTTAAAAATTCTTACAGAAATTGCCACTAGAACTATTCAAATGCTAACTGCTCATATTTTTACTGGAAGTTTCTAGAATCAATTCTTCATGAAAATTTTTCAAAATATAAATGTTCCCAATAAAAGTTGGGGTTTTTTTTTGACAGCAACGTTTCTTAGAAGAGCAAAAAGTAGTTGAAATTCTTAAGTACCTCTAATAATAAAATTATTAACTAATCTTTAAAACAAATCTAGACTGTGTAAATTATAGTGTGCTTACCTTAAAGTGACATGCCATTGTTAAAAGCATTAAAAAAGCTTCCTTCCATATCTTACCAAAGATACAAACATGCAGCACAAGGGCAATTTTCAGTACTGCCTTGGTACAGGCAGTATTTTACATTAATAAACAGGAATATGGTTTGTTTTAACATTAAATTATTTTATTTGCACTTATAATAATAGAATATTTATAGATATTGTTGTGTTGGATTCTCATGATATTAACAGGCTCCAATGTGCTACTTTATATCAAAGATTCCCGTCTTTCTGAAATACAGAGGTATCAAGTTTTACTTGGGAAAAAAAAAATTCTAAGCCATTGAAGTAATTGAATCTGAAAAGAGTATATGGAAAACAAGTTATTTTCTAGATTGAATAGTCCTGTGTTCTTCTAAGATTCCATATTTAACCTCAGTATTAAATGCAGGTATATGCAACATATTCAGTGACTGTGTTTACTTTTCTACATAGGTTTGTTTCTCTGCCAATGAACTTGTGAAGATATTTGTAAAAAATAATTCTTCCTCCATTTCTGAGGAGCACTTCAAGCAAATCAGTCCAGCTATCATTCAGCAACTATTAAGTTGTTCATGTCAGCTTTCTGACTCCAAGCAGACAAAGCTTCCACCGACAACTTTGGAAAGTGAGTTATGTTATTATCAGTATAGTATTATGAAAATTGAGATGAAGGGATACAGGGGCTTAACTTCCAGAGAATTTTCATTTATTAATAACCTTAAACCAAAACATGATGAGATTTATGTAATTTATGCTCTCTATAATTTCATAGCATACATGTCGGATAATAGTACTATACTGAGAAGTGACAGGTCCTCACAAATGTGTTCCTGAGCAGCAAAGACCTGTTTTATGGCATTTCCACCAGGTTTATTCTAGAATCACTACGCTGCTTTTCACATATAGTCTCAAGGTTATATTAGCTGGCATTTGATACCTTGATGTGGCAAATGCTTAATATAGATAAATTCTGTGTGAATGTTGCTGGTTTTTCATGTTGTCACATTTTATGGTAGGTAAGCTTTGGGGATACTACTAGGGTAAGAAAAACAACATAAAACCAGTCACATGGGCAGTAGGACTTGCGTGATAGAGCTGGAACAAGAACTGAGTTAGATTATGATCAGATAATTTCCAGTTGTAGTCCTCCCATTGCAGGAGGGATCCACTGCTTCCAGGGATTTCTGCTCCTCCATTCTGCTGATTCCACTTCTCCTGTAACAAATCCCTAGTCTACTATAGCAAAAAAAAAAAAAAAAAAAAAAAAATCTGAATCTGTTCTGACCTAAGGGCTTCTTGATGTGGTTCCTGGTTTTGCTTTTTTCTTTAAATCGGCAATATCTGGGAAATGGTTACAAACCTGGATGTGCTGGTGTATTACAGGAGGCATTAATTTCTAGCAGGGCATTTGGGAGCCAGGAAGCTACAAAAAGTAATGGGCATCTAACCATAATCACCTGCATCTAGGGCAGCACTTTTAGGCTACAAATCAATGCCTTCAATACTTTTATCCTAATGTCTACATGGCCAGCTCTAGATGACTAGATTCATTAGGAGCTAGTAAGCTTTCCCACCCTGCTGGCCAACAATCCATAGGGAACAGCACTGTCCATCTCTAAATTCTGTCTGTACTTCAAGCTGCTCAAGTTAAGCAGCTTGTGGGAATAAGCTGAGCTAACATTCCATGGTGTACAGATTAACTGAACTATGAGAGGGAATTAAAAAACAGTTAGATAAGGACATGGAAGGACACTCATGGATGTCCCAAGAATGGTTATAGGCGAAAGAAACATATAGAACAGGAAGAATAATTACAGCTCCCTAGAAGGCATCAGACCTTTTTCCTTGTGTCTCTCTTCTCATTACCTGAACACCTTGCAGCCTTTACTGCTTTCATCTTTTCCATGCTGCAGGGACATGCTCATTTTTCAGGTGGGGAATCAAGAAACAAAGAACGAAAGGAACTTACATAGGTCATATAAAGGCTCATGTCAAATTCACAGTTTGAGTGAGAGTCTCTCAAGTCAAAGGCCATCAGCCCAATCGCTGACATTTTAATGATCTCATGAAGGTGAGAGGTCTGCCTAGATGAGCAAAGCTGAATCATTCAAACACAAAATGGAATTGATAAGAACCCTTTCTGCAGCCCTTTCCCTGTGCTTTTTGGCAAAGGAAGGTTTCCATGACCACAGGGACACTTCTGCTGGTTTGAGACAGACAAAGGACTTCAGGTTTGACCTATGTGTGACCTAATGAGCTGAGCATAGGCTCATTAACAGGCCGTGCTCTTTTGGCTAAGTCACCAAGGCCTGACCTTCCATAAGTATCTACTATACCCTTGTATTTGGATGTGCAGTCTCTGAAATTTACTGTCTGATTTTATGAGGTGCTGAGCACTTGCAATGCTATTAAAGCATGAAATGTTAAGTGACACTTTGTAATATTTTGGCATTAGCTCCTTTATGTGTGTTTCTCACCAGTGTTTTACCTCCATCATAAGACTTTCATGCAGATTAATCAGGAGTCGTGTTGTGCAAAAGCTTGGGAATGTGAGCAGTGTATAACTCTGAACAATTATAACAGTAACCTTCCAAAAAATTTCCAGTAACCTGGGAAAAACAGGTTGGTGTTTCTTATACAGTAACTAAAGGAATGTATATTCACAGCACATTTTGGACTAAAAAGTTTATGCTTAGAACCTAAATTAGATGCCTACATTCATTTGAGGTTTTAGGCTGAGGTTTGTTTACTGAATATGATTTGGTTAACAGTGTGGTCTTGACTGCAAAGATACACAGGTGTGACACGTGAGGACATAGAAAAACAAGCATAAAACTGTTAAAAGAGGAAACGAGTGCAGACCAGCATTCACTGTGCTGCTCTGAGTGTCTCTAGTCTGCACAGTCACAGTCTATTTATCTCTTTAAGGCCTGAAATTTGGAGGCATTAGACTGTGTTACTTGTAAAGCCTGAAAAAAATTAATGTTTTTTAAGCTTCCAATTCTGTAATCTGTATCATAAGCAACCAGAAAAATCTATGTGGCACAATGAATCACTTCTCTGAGAGCTTGTACACAGAGGTGGCAAAACATAGCCTCAAAACCAAATACAAATACAAAACACATACTCAGACATGAACAAAAATACTGAATGATTAAAGG